TTTGTTAAGATAAGCAATTTCAGATGGGTGAGAAAATGTATTTAATACACGTGTCATTTTTGCTACTTATTTTAAATTCTAAACTATTGATTTTAAAGACTTGATCTCATTTAATTTAGCTTAAGATATTACAAATGACGTCGTTTATCTATATAGTTAATGTTAATAGCCGCATAAATAGATATTAGCATAGAACTTTTCCATTTATGCATGAAAATTAAATAGCCTTCGAAAAATTAGTCTCATCATCAACTTTGTTTTCATCTGAACACCAATGAAACAATTTGTTAAGATAAGAAAGATTCAGAAGAGTGAGAAAATGTATTTACACGTGATATTTTTTTAAACTTGTTTTTAACTTCCAAACTATTGATTTTACTGAACTAATTTTGATAGCCGCATAATTATATATATACACACACAATCAAGACAAAGAAGAACGGGAGATTAACGAAGAAAATCAAGAAAAATAATAATAAGTTATATTTACTGTGCTACAAGTACAAGCTACAAGTACATAGAATTCATTAAATAAGTTAAAAATATAGAAAAAAACATGGAGAAAAATGTAAAGATTTTTTGAAAAGGGAAGAAAAATAGCACTAAAATTAAACATTTTTAAAAAATATTTAAAAATTTTAATATTTTTTTTATTTCCAATGAGCTGCACTATCGGTCTTGCCAATGAGCAGACCTAGTGTGCTCTCCAGAGGTGGTATCCACTCTTTCAGGACCACTACAATGAGTGAGATACCGTTGGTCATGTTAATTTGGACGTCTAGTTTCTGCCACACTAGATGGCAGCACCGAGACTCTATTTGGATGCTAAAGTGCACTAGGAATTTTAATTTTGCTGGAAATGCCAAAAGCCAATAAGGCACTCCAGGGATCTTTTACATGCCGCATAATCATACGACATGGCCGCTGAGGATTTTCTGCATCCCGAAAATCCGGTGTCTGGACCGGGGATCGAACCCGCAGACTTGGGCTCAGAAGGCCGACGACGAACCAACTGCGCCACCCAGCCACTAAANGAGATAAATTTTAGCAAGCAGATCGAATTTATTAGGAGGGTGTTAAAAGGAGAAAAAAACTTACATTTGGCCTTAAGTGATGCATTTTTATGCTGAATCGAATAACATCAAAATCAAATCGATAAAACTAATAGTACAGAAGTTATAAGGAATTTAATAAGTGTAAAAAAAGTGAAAATTTTTATTTTATGTGTTTACATATCTGAATTACGAATTCAGAAAAATTAATAGGTATTATTAATTATTGCCTATGTATTTATTTACTCTAAATCGAATGACACCAAAACAATAATCGAGTAGACTAATAATTCAAAGGGTATATAGACTAAAAAATACAATTTTATGATAACTATTTAAGTCCAATGTTGATGCATAAGCACAAATCATAGATATACAGATAAAAAAAATCTGCAAAAAATCATAGAGGAACATTGTTTTCTTCTTATTTTCTGCAGAAAATACGAAGTAACTTTTCGATTTGTACAATTTTATTTTAAGACCAGCTTTATAAACAAGTATTTATATGCTTAATCGGTAACTGCGCTGTGATTTTTCTCCTTAAAATATATGTGTCACTTATTATATTCGTCTTCTTTTTTTTCTTCTTTTCTTTTAAATGAAATAATGAAAAAAATCTAAGAAAAATCATACCAAAATCAATCAAAGCTATAAAAAATTTTCCTGCATGATAGAAAAATTGTTTTTCATTCATTTTTATTTCTATAGAATGAAGTACGTAACAGCGGTACGTAATCAGTTCTGGGGTTCAAACACTATCGGACAGACAATTCAGCCCAAGTGTCTCCTATCATGTCTTAGTGATTCCATTAAGATATGATCGATAATGTATGTAAATGTGGAACAGACCCTTAATTTTAAAAAATTAAATTTGCCAGTTTTCATTTAAACAATTATGAAAATTAATTTATTTTCATAAAAACTTTGAGAAATCCTAAATCCAAATGATCGTAAGAATTAGTCCATGAAGTGACTAAATTCGCCCAATTTAAACTGAGTGAATCGGTAAATTTTTTTTATCAGCATAAGTGGCTAACCTCTGCATTTAAGTTACAAATGCAAAAATTAAATAAATAAATAAATGGAAAAAAATAAGAATAAAAAAAATAAAAGAGGTTATCAAATAGGGATGACATAAGCCTACAGTACGCTCCCAGTCTTTTTATTTCCTAGAAAAAAGTTATAATGAACAACATTACTGGGAGTTGACGTATTATGTTTAAAATTTTTGAAAATTTATAAAAATGATATATAAAGAGACGAAAATAATATGAAAAGCTCTTGCCTCAAGTACGTAGGTATGGATTACTTTAATAAAAGCGTATGAAATAAAACAATTGTTAACAACTATTGTAAGAAGACGGTTAGAGGCTAAAACGAAAAAAGATTGGATGTTTAGCTAAAATTGGGGTTACATAAAAATTAAAGCCAAAGGAAAATGCTTGGTGGGGATAAAGTTTCACGTCAAAGCATTTCTCTAACCCGATGAAATCCCGAAACGAAATTAATTCTCAGGATGGCTATCGTCTTTTAACGGTGGACGGACTAGTAAGAAAGTTCAATCTTAATTAAGATAGTAGTAAAAAATTACACCTCGAAACTTTATGCAGAGCTAGACATAAAATTGTCCCAAAATGAATGAATGTTATTAAAACGACATTGACTTAAATTTCAAGTGGAACCAACATATATATATATATATATATACATTGTTTTTCAGTGTATAAGTTATTTCAATTACCATCGATCTTATTTTTCTAAAAATTTTATGGAATTATGTTATAATAGGTAAAATTATATGAAAATGTAAATAAAACGTTAAGAGCTTCGATTCAAACTTTTTCCGCTTTAAACGGAGGTTAAGCATAACTTTAAGCAACCAAATCGATTTCTTTTTTAATTCTCCATTTAAAAAAAAATCAATGCAGTTTCTTAAAGTTGTTTTACATATTTACTTAGTTGTTTTGGTTATTTTTCGTACTCTCATTTTACTCAGGATTTATTTTTTTCAGTTGAGATTCAAAAATACGTTTTTAATAATAAAGAATAGGATTTCTTCAAAAAAAAATTCCATTTTTAGTAGAAGATATTATTTTAAACTTTAATGATTTTCAAAAAGAAAAAAATGGTTCCAAGTAAAAGAATACAACTAAAAAGGTTTCTTTAAAACTAACTTAAAGCATCCAAACTAATATTTACTAACTTTGAGAATCATAAAGAGCCTGTTCTTCCTTACATAGAAAAGAATTTGAAGAACACTCATCCAAACGTTTCCTTTACGCTTGGTTGATTTCAATTTATCACATTTTTCAGGTTCATCTTGCAAGATCAATGCATTTTTGCGAAACTCTTTTCTGATATAAATTCGGAAAACAGATACTCTGTTATGATATTGTTCCGAATCTTATTTAGTTCTAGTTGGCACTTGCAGTTGTTTTGAAATCATTTTTGTTTTTGGCGATAGACGCATTAAATTGAAGTAAGATGTTTAAAAGTTCTTTTTTTTTACATTGTGTTTACACAGATTTTGTTCCACGGAATTATTCTTCCTTTTGAGCTAAAAAGTATAATAATTTTACGAAAATACCTTTTCAACTTTATATATAAACTTGTTTTCTTTACATTTTTCATTAAATGCTTGATTATGTTTATTATGTAATTACATGCATTAACGTAATCAATGTTGATAAGTTGATTGTTGCATGTAAGTGCATTTATCTAATATATAATACACTTAATCAATAAAAATAAAAATATAAGACTTAGAAATTAACTAATTATTATTTTTAACAAAACGTTTTCAAAAAGTGTTTGTTTTAATTTAGAAACTTCAGCGGAAAATTCTACATCGCTTCAAAATAAAACTCTGAGACTGTTGGATTTTTCAATGAAATATCACGAGAAAACTTAAAATAGGCTGTAATCTTCGAATGTTTTCCTTTTTGTAGAAAATAAACACCCAATCAAGCGTTGTGGGCTTAACATTTACATAAACTAAGTTAAAAATCAGCTAAAATAATTTCAGAGCATCGATGTTTTAAATTTGCTCGATATTTTATATTTTCAAGTTCCTAGATATTTTATTTATTAAAAAAAATAATTTCTACAAGTTGCGGATGAGACTTAAGGACATTTTGCCCCCCTCTTTTCAGTACAAAAACTCCAAAATTTGCGAATTACTTCGATTGAGTGAACTATTTTTTATGTTAGACAGTGATATTTAAATAAGTATTCTTTAAAAAAAATATTTAATTTTATAGATTAATTTTATTTAAAGTTTCAATTGCGGGTGGCACTTGCAAAGCCAATGAAATTTTGACTTACACAAATACTCACAAAGCAGATTATTTTTAATTAACATATTGACGAATGATACAGTAATAATATAAAAAAATAGTAATATCAACTTTCTTTGCCTCTTATTCATCTTTTGTCGCTTTAATTTTTCTTCTTCTTGTTAACTGCTGCTTTATTTTAATTCTTTTCTTCCTTGCTTTGTCTTTTTTTTACTCTTTTGTAAATATTCTGCATATTTAAGGTTTTTATTAATTTTTATTTTTTTGATGAATTCATGAACTTCCTATCAAAGTTTTGATTATTTAACATTGTTATTCGAGAAATCGCTTCACTTTAATTCAATAAAATAGCACATAGAATTAGAAATCAAACGCTTTCACTTTCAATGCAAAGCTTCAAGCACATCCTGTACTTAATCATTAATTTAAGAAATTAAGTTAATCGATTTTTATCTCCGAAATGAATTCTAAAACAAACATCCTACGCTGATCCAAAATATATCTATCAATTGTAAACAATTTATGTAACGCTCTAAGATTCTTCAGTAAATAAAACAGTTTGGTTTTTCCAGATACTAAGGAGGATGTTTGCTGCTTGCATTTAAATACAACGTAACCTAGTTTAAATTGACCACCGGATGGCGCTACAGTCGCCTCTTTTCCGGCGTCCAAGATCCGGACTGTTTTACCTCCTCATCACTCATCAGTTGGGACTAGTAGAGGATGAAAAAGATGTGGAAGAGCAAAGATATGATCCGGTGCTGTTAAGGCACTCATGAGAAGGACACAGCTGCGTCTGTTGGAGGGGGGCGGTCAAACGATGCCCCGGTGGTGGGTGCCCCCCTCTTGTGCCCCTTGACATCGGCCGTCTTTTAAACCATGTCCCCAATTCTTCTACTCCGTCATCATCTTCTTTGGATAATTTGTTTGTGCACCCCTGAGCCTGTGGTCCATGCTCTGCCCCTCCATGTGATGGCCGTCTTTCCTCCAGAAAGTGAGGGGGACTCAAGGGGTGCCCTGGCACGCGCCCTCAGAAAAGCGGTTAGTGATGCCGATAGTGGAGAACTTTTTGAGAAGGACGTGACCTTGTTGGCGACCCCTTTTAATGCCCCCCGTGGCTCTCAAACCCTCCTTGTGAACCTGTGTAACGCCCTAAGGAAACAACAGCCCCCACCCTCTGCCCTGTTGTCCTTCGTGGGACCGCCCCTGTCTTTTTATGTCTCTCTTTTAGGGGCATACACAAAAATACCTGTAATTGGAATGTCAAGAAATTATCAGGATGAACCAGCAAAAGTAAGTTATTTTTCCAATTGCTACTTTAAACAAAATAAACTTTGCTTTAATATGACTTTTAATGCTCTTTTATTTCTTATTAATTTAGTTTTCCTCACCTTAAACAGTTTTTTACATATTATTATTATTTTTTTACATATCTTTAGTTTTCTAAAAGTTTTTTTAAGAACTCCTGTATAAAGTAATTAGCTTTTATTTAGTATCAATTTAGTTTTCCCTACCCTAAATAGTTTTTTTCATATCACTTTAGCAATATTTATAAATCCGAGCTATTCAATTTTCAAAGTGTTATTTAAGACTTAAAATTTTTTTTAAGAACTGTGTAAATTAATTTACTTTTCCTTCAATTGATTCTTACATATATGCATACTATTTATAAATTCAAGATATTCAATTTTCTAATTGTTACTTATTTCCAATATATAAATATATACCCAATGTAAAATAATTTACTTCCAGTTTGCATCAATTGTATCATACTATTTGTTTTTATCATGTCCTGTTTGTTCAAACAAATATTCCATTGGAAATTCTTCATTGTTTAAATATTTTAAAGACCCTATGGGGACTAATTTATTTACATTTGGTATCAATTAAATTTTCTAAACTTTTAATTAATGTTTACAAGTCAATATATCACTCTCTAACTTTATAGTATTTACTAATCAAATTAGAACTCAATGCAATATTACTTAATGTCTAAAAAGTTTCTTAAGAGTATGCACTTAAAAATTTCATTTGGTATCAATTCTCTAAGTTGTTGAGAAGACAGGGTTTTTAACAAGGAATTTAAAAAAATCCGGTCTACTTGAAAAAAATTCATAAAAATTCGCTCCTTTTTGGGGTTTTTATTTTATACCTTTAGTTCACTTTTTTATTTAGAAAAAAACTTTAACTTAATTTAAAATTTTTATTCATAAATAAGATTTTGAGATTTTTTTGTCAGAACGAATAAACAAATCTAAATACATGAATCATTGTAATAATTATACCATTTTAACTATAAAATTTGAGGTGTATTGTGGTGTGTAATCCGTAGAGTTTATTTTCGGTGATTTAATAATAATAATAAAAAACAGCGATACATTATAAGTAAATAAATTTTAATATTTGTACAAGTTTTAAAGAATGAATTTAACAATAAATCAATAAACGAATTAACAATAAATAATGCGAATTTCATAAAGTTTTATCGATGAAAGTCGTCAGTCATTAAACGTCTCTTTTATATTATTCTAAACTGTATTTACATAAAATTTTGTAATGTTTAATTTACTAATATCATTCTCTAACTGCAGTCTTATTGAAAAGCATTTTATCTATGCAGGTTTCGGTTTTTGTTGCTTCAAAAAACTCCAGATCTATTTATTTTTACGCATAATTTATATTTTCTCATAAATTATGTAGATCCTCATTTGTGGAAATTTATTAAATTGAACTTTTGTAATATGTTTAAACCCATAGTTTATGGATCAACTCTTAATTTATTCAAAAGTAATTTGCTCAACCACACATATGAAATCACATGCTTATTTTTTTTTTGAGGTATTTTGGTTATTGGGGGGTAAACTCTGCTCTTGATAAAAATTTCCAAAAGCCTACCGGAGGAAATTTTGCGGGTTCATGTTTAAGGGTCCGTATTTTCTGTTTTTTTTTTTTTTTTTTTCATTATGAAAATCTAGAAAAAAAAATAATCTTTCTAAATCGACAAAATAAAAAGGAAATAAAAAGTATAAAATTTCAGATTAAAAAAAACTTTGCACTTTTCTGCTTTATTAACAAGAGCAGGAAGTCATGAATAATGAAAAAACAAATTTTGAGAAAACAAAATAAATTAAAAAAATCCAAGGAAAATTGCCGAAATGGCCAATGAAAAATGGGAATGTTTCGGACCAATCTCTTAAATGTAGCAAGAGAAACAAACTATTTTTCCTTGAAAAGTTTAGCTATACGTTGTTTATAAATATCGAAAAAAGTATATATCATTAAACATATTTTAAATTAAATGTGGGATGTATAACATAATAAATCAATCTTTTGAATAAATGAGAGATAATACTAATTAATTATCACATTTTAGGTGAACTTCTCAAACCATATAAATTGTGTAGTAAGCTAATATGTGTGTAACAGTTTTTATTTTATGAAATGAAGCAAAAAAAATTTCAATATTATTACAACTTTTGTTTTCAATTATTTTTGTCTAATTAATTAGTATATCTGAAAATTTTTATAATTGTTTACAGCTACGATTTTTTGAAAACACATATATAATTGTATGTTTTGAGAATATAGAAAATACTTTTGAACCATGATAAGAGATTTTAATAATTGTGAAGAAAGAAGTGATTAGAATTTGTCAGTTTCAATTTCTCCGTTAAATACGATTCAGTAATATAGTCTATTGTTATTTGTTTTTTTTAATCAATGGATTTTTTCCTCAATTCCAATTTATAAAAATTTTCCACGCTCTTTTTTAAGTTAAAACTATTTTGAATGTACAGTTTTTCAAAAAAAATTATCGCAAAAGTTATTAAAGTTTTACCGAACGGGGTATTTTTTCTGAGATTATACGATAGAAAAAAATTTCAAAGTCTATGGCAAAAATGCATTTATGAGGAGTTTAATAGTGTAAAGAAATACTAGCAAAGTCTTTGAGTAATTAGTATTATTAGTAGTCTCAATTTCTCACTTAAATAAAATTCAATGTAATAGTGCATATATTGTTCTTTTGTAGGCAATGAATTTTTTTTTTTTTTAATTTTTTGAATAATTCAATTTCTTTATCTACCTATTAGATTTCAAGAGGATTAGAATCCACTGCATTTCAAAAATAATATGTTTTTACGATAAAAATATATTTGAAAGCGTATTGATGTTTCCGAATATATATATATATANTATATAGTAACTATATCTTTTCTCTACTGATAACTAAAATACTTTAGAATCAGTTTAGATATATATATATATATATATATATATTCAATAAATCTTAAAATACTTCCGAAAATAATCGATAATTGAGAAACATTAATTATTTTTGCTACTGCCGGTTTTACCCCAATATCATTTCGAATATTTTTTTACAATTTAGTGTTCCTAAAAAAACTCTATTTTCAACAAAATGTAAATTTTTTTAAAAAGAAAATTCCTAAAAACGTTTTAAATTTCTACCAAAATTACACGTTATGTTCCTAGGATGAAAAAAATTCGGAAGCCTATGGGATTTGAATGCTTTGGAAAGATAACAAATAAGCCAAATACTCCTGAAGCGTTTAATACAAGAATCGATTTTTGAGAAATATTAAGTACCCTTGCTCATGCCGGTTTCTTTTACTACAATTGTACCGAAACAGCACTTATACTATTTTTTTTGTGCAATTAACTAGTGTTCCTAAAAATATTTTAAAAAATTCCTGAATTGGTATGTTGTCAAGAGTCTGCGATGAAAAGATATGGAAGACTATAGAATTTGTATGTTTTAAAAAGAAAAAACAAAGCTTCTGAAGTCTAAAAGGGGATTTTAATATAGTAAGAAAAGAATTGTTCTTTGAAATACATTAAATTTATTTTCTCCTGCTGGTTTCTTTTACTACAATTGTACCGAAACAGCATTTATTCTATATTTTTCGCACGATTAACTAGTGTTCTTAAAAATATTTTAAAAAATTCTTGAAATATTATGTTTTTAGGATTCTACGATGAAAAAATATGGAAGTATATAATAGAATTTGCATGTTTTAGAAAGAAAAAAAAGCTTCTGAAGCCTTAATGGAGATTTTAATATTATAAGAAAAGAATTGGTCTTTGCGATGCATTAAGTTTACTTTCTTCTACTGGTTTCTTTTACTACAATTGTGTTCTAACATCACTAATGGGATATTAATGACGCTTTTTGGCTCTTTACTAGCATTTTTACTAATGTCTGGGCGGAAACCCATTTTCTTATAGAGAACATCATGTTGAGCGGTGCATGTTTTTCAACATCATTGGGACCAATAGAACAAATCCTGATTTTGCTTATTTTACTAAATAAGCTATTTGTTAAAGTTTAACAACATTCAAAACAATTGAATAGATGGTTAAAAGCAGATGAAAATCCAACAATGGCAAATTATTATTATTTATCACGATCAATTGTAAAATGTCTAGAAAAATTGTAAATAGTCTAGAAAAACTCTTCTAATAATATTCACTTTATTGAACTGTAGTTTAACATTCCAAGAATGAGCTAAGGATTATTATTTTCATGAACCATTTATTTGCAAACTAAAGGATCAAATTGGCCAAACTATTAAAATAATTTGCATGTTGTACGCGGAGAGAAAAAACAATATGACAAAATTACCGTACTTTATGGTAATGATAATTCTTGTGAAAAAAAGAAAACATAATTCAAGTTAATAAAATTAAAATATTCGGTATTTAAGCCAATGATTTGATAACTTTTCCGTTTATATAATAACGGTTTGTAAGAAATTCTGGTTTTCAAAATTATAGTTCTTATTACCACACATTTAGTAAAAAATGCAAAACTGAAAAGTAAATTTAACCGAATAAATGGTTTTTATTTTTTTCAAAATGCGTGATATTAAAAAATATAATTTTGAAAACCGCTAACTTATGTACGGAAAAATTAGCAAATTAATGGTTCAATTATTGTATATTTTGTTTTTATTAACCAGAATTATTATATTTTTTCCCCTGAAATGTCATTACCATATAGTACTATAATTTTGCCGGAATTTTTTTTCCGTGTGCGTTTTAGTATTTTTTGTACATAGTAAAGTAATTTTGCAGTGCATAGTGTAGTGCATTTCTTCACATTTTAGTTCCGAAACAAAATCCACTAGATTCAACTAATAAGATACTTGTTAGCTATAAAAAAAGTCCTAAAGTTTACTTCAATCGAATTTTTTACCTTCCTCACAATTTTTCATTGTAATTTAAAAATCCGATCAATGAGAGCAAAGCCAATTATATTTTAAATATAAACA